GTCCTTTAATGTGATTTCTTGTAGAGTCCACAAATGGCCGCTATACATGAACTTTCACTTCGAATTTTCAATTACACAAATCTCGGAAATCAGAGCCCAATTTCACCTGAAATTGCTACTTCATGTATGCTGCAGTGCAGCAAACGTGGAGTAACAATTTGAATGTTGCACATGTCGTAGAAGCTTATATTTGTGCACTTAATGTTTCTAAGTGGTTCCGAAAATAAGGATGTCACAGCAAATCACCTTAAGAGCCTCCGGTAGTCGTTCTTCAGAAACTCTTGAGCGAGAAAGCTAAATGTGAATTGCGCGGTAGGAACGGTCATGTACGATGTATTGTTTACTCTGAGCTTTCGCGGAGCACCGAATTACCCTAATAAAAATACCATTAACGAACGATAACCCAAATGGAAGAACTATTCCACATGGATGATACACGTCGTTAAGCAAAATAACCATTCAAAATTTATTATGGTAGGACAAAGCGCATCGCAGACGACACGGTAGCAACTGTTAATAAGTAACTGACCCTGAAATGCGTGACTTTGACACTGCTACTGTTAAGTTGTCGAGAATGTGTTTGCTCCTACCGTAGGGTCTATTGCAGGTTAATTTCCTACTCGGAAGTTGGAATTTGAGGCCTTTGCACTTTTATCATTTCAAGCTTTTGTCACTCGACTTTTTGTCATTCGACGTTTTGTCCCACAAACTGATATTTGACTCAAGTTAGATTATGAGTACTCCTCGCACCCTTAACATGTCCAGATGTGACAATGTAGTTTTGGACACTCAATAATTCAATATGATCAACAATGATATTTTTATTGAATGCTGATTTTATGTGTCCAAATACCATCAGCTTAAGTGATATTCTTTCCAAGCTTTTTGCGTCCAAATTGGTAAAGTGGTTGCTGAGAAATCAATCTTATCATTTTTGTCACATTAGTCACTCCCCCGCGGGTGCCCGAAACATATCCAGATGTGGACAACGGGGTCCTGGGCACTCATTTTAACTTTCATTGAACTTGTTTTTGAACCCTCATGTAATTTGATGTGTCACATCATGGGTTTGGCACGCTTTAGGTTCATTCTAGTCTCGTAGCCCGTATTCACCGGAACATGTTCCGGCCAAATCTCTGGAACCAGTTGACCGATTCCAACAATATTCAAGTCTATGCTTGCCATAAATTGGCTTTAACTAAAAAACTACGCCATTTATAACAAAACTCTTGCCTGCATTGAATAGCTTATAGCTTGGGTGTTAATTAACGACCCAACATGATGTGTTTCGTACAAAATTGCGACAAAACTAAGCAAGATAGAAAATTAGTGTCAAAGAAAGAGTTGTAGAGCGCATTAAGAGGCATCTTTTGTTTACACAAAGCAATACACTGTATTACGCATTTTTCGAAATAATAAGGGAAAACCCGTAGGAAAACACAAGTTTTAGACTCGTTTACCCCTAAAATGTGTCTAAATGCAGCTTACTTAAAGTAAAAACAACACTATTAAGTAGGAAATTTACCAAGCTGTTCAATGTTGGCAAGAGTTTTGTGCTAAATGGCATTGTTTTTGAGTTAGAACCAATTTATGGCAAGCATAGACCAAAACAGAAAAAAAGTTCAATAACTCAGTAATCTTTGAGATCTGATCATATGCGTAGAACAATTTCTTACTTCAAATATGATCTTCTATCGCCCCTTAAATTATTTGCACTAAGGATCCGAACACCCTGTATAATGCTTTTGTTTCACTGTAGCTTTGTGTGGGCGATTATCCAAGGAAGAGAATCGGCCCTCTACCAATGGGTACTCTGTTTTGTGTTTCGGTTTTAACCGTTTGAAATCGGCTTTTATTTTATTATGGATACGGGATTGCGACTTTCGATCGTTCGGGTGTAACTGGGTGGTGGTGAGAGGCAGCATCGATGAACACAACCACCAGTAGGGAATAGCTTTTCTCTGCACTAAATGCATCCTCTTGCTGCTTGGTGACAACAACGCTGAAAAAGCAGAACAGTTTCGTCGCATTCTTCAGTGTCACAATTTTCACATCCGCTGATGTAAACAACTTAATAATTTCGTCCCGTTTCTTCTCGTTCAGTTCGTGGCCACTTTAAACGTGCATCCACGTTGTCCCGGTTCGCTGCCAGGTATCCATAGTTGATCTTCGCAGCCGATTTTGATCGCCGGAAGAGTTCAAGCGATTGCAACAGCAGCAGCTTACCCCAGCGACTGTGGATTAAAATTCAATCAGATGCGTTGCGATATTGCTTTCAACGAAGCCTTTTCCAATCCCCTATACATGTACTTTCACTTCGGTCGGAGGAACTCGATCACCTGCTCGCCTTCTGGGCCAGTTTGTCTGGTATCTGGTAGTTTGTCATGCCGGTCTCTGGATCATCGCTTTGGTTCTCTTATTGGTTCGGAGTCCACTGCTTGGTATGTTGTTCCTTCTCCATAAAAACAAAACATTTAAACTGTCAGATTAACCGGTTTGCCATTAATGCCATCATTCACAAACAAACCGTGTCAATCTGATGACTGGCACTCTCGACACTGCCAGCACAGCTGCGGCACACTAATAAAACAGTTGGCCCAACATGAATGTGTAGAGTGACCACTAGACTGATGCAAATTTTGACATTTTCGCTCCATAGTGCTCAAACGGTTCCAAATCGGGTCCTGATTAGTCTCCCAAAATTTGAACTCATTCGATAAGAAACTGACTTGGCACAAACCATTTGAAGTTTATATGGAAATTACTATAGGAAAACCAAATGTTTTGTTCATATCCATGTAATAATTTATCATATCGCTCTGCTTTAAAAAATGATAACTGAGCTCGTTGAAAATTTTCTCAGCTACAACTTTGTCCTGAACCACTTTTCAATATAATGTAAGCATCAAAAGTTATCAATAATTCAAGCCACTAATGTCTTACGATTATGCTCAATCAACTGTTCAGCAGGCAACATTGGTGTTTCTGGCGCTTGGAATAGAGCACAAAAATCATGGCTACTATGTCACACTGCAAGATACAGTGTTGCTCACAAAACAGCTGCTTGATCATGCCATAAGATTATCAATCTCTTAAACAATTAATAACTATTTAATTTGACGTTTGGCTCAACAACTATATTCTGCTAAATTGAAGCTGAGAAAATTTTCCATAAGTATCGCTTTTGAATTTTTGAACAGTGTAATATGGAAAAAGGTAAGAAGACAATGAACACAAAGTTTGGATTTCCCATAGTAATTTCCATATAAACTTCAAATGGTTTGTGCCAAGTCAGTTTCTTTTCAAATGAGTTCAAATTTTGGGAGACTAATCAGGACCCGATTTGGAACCGTTTGAGCACTGTGGAGCGAAAATGTCAAAATTTGCATCAGTCTAGTGACCACCCCTTGACGGAGTAGCAACTACAATACTACGGTATTATCTAAAAATAAAATAAGATGGATTCCGTCACGTGTAAAGTTAGTTATTTCTAAGTGTGTAAGTAAGAAGTTTCTTTTTGGATTTTTCCATCCCAGCTTCTCCTTTGTTAGATTTTTTTTCAGATTTATATGTTCTGTATTCTTCATGTTTACGTGAGGTAGTTACCTCTATGGTATTTCTGCGATCCCGTCCCTCGTTTATATGAAAACGTAAGAAAAGTTGCGTGTGTGTGTGTGTGTGTGTGTGTGTGTGTGTGTGTGTGTGTGTGTGTGTGTGTGTGTGTGTGTGTGTGTGTGTGTTTGTGTTTGTGTGTGTATTCCCTCTAACCCCCACTGACTGGCACTGTTATTATGGAAGAACTCTCTCTACAATGTCGCATTTATGGTCATTGTAGACAGCTTTAGTCCGGGAGTTAGAAGGTGATAGCTCTATTGCACATCCAGCAACCCATTTCAGAATGTCTGGAGAGTCACGCCCATTCCAAACTTACTTTCACTTACAATAAGCCCCGTATGTATGCATCACCGTTATCAAATGGATATTGGTATTACATACACGCTTCCAGGTTCGAAATCAATACTTTCAAACCTGGCACGTATTAAGTTTATGTTTTTTTTTTTTTAATTGTGAAATGTGTTTGGACTGGTCTCACCATGTAAATTTGATCCTCCAATCCATAGGTAATATTGATTTTCTCTAAGCTTTGCATCTCATTTGTCGTAATACTTCCTTTAACGAACACAAATTTTCTTGCATTGTTATGGTCATCTGGGAGGAGGTTTGCGTCTAGTGCTTTCCCCAGGAACAGTTCGCGACCACCAACTGGCATCTTTCATATTGCTAGCAATCTCCGACACCGGTGAGAGACCAGCAGCCGAGAACTTTTGCAAGCGGAAAACTTGCTGATTCACGGCAACGTCGGTCACCGAATCACCACCAAAACTCGCGACGGACACATTATCAACACGTTCCCGGGTAATTCACCAACCGGACCGATCTCTCAATAGAACTACACGCCGAAAGTATAGCTTCCGAACTCGGAGAACCGGGCTCCCGGGAGGCAATGAAAATCGACACCGAACAATGGAACTGAATCTGCGTTGTATATTTTGGAGGTTAGATTCAAGGCCAACCGAGCTTCTCAAGGCAAAACGCGATATATCACTAAATGATAACTTTATGAACACTTGAAACTCAATTTCAGCACACAAGTTAACAAATTTAAAGTCAAAATGTGTTTAATTCGCTTACGAAAAATACGCAGCAAAAGAAAAACACGTCAAATTTCAAGCGCGGCCTACTGCGATGTATCATATGAAAACGTAAGAAAAGTTACTTTTAAATTATATGGTAATTATTGCATGGTCCCCTACCATAGTTATCAATTCAGCAATAATTACCATTTTTTGCAAAGAATTATATTTTGGGCTATGAATCAAACAAGAAGAAGATCTATTTGATTGAAAATACTTTTATAGGATGAAAACCAAGTTAAAAAAAAAAACAACGAGATGATCCTGCACAGTTAATTTATTGATTTTTTTTTTCTTTTATTACAGACATTCTATAAAAAAACATCAACAACAAAAAGAAGCTTCGCAGGTAAGATACCTTTATAATTCAACTTTATAACTTTTTGGCATTCTCATATAATTAGGTGTACCGAAAGGATATTATATCACTTGAACAACACATTTTTGACCCTAAGGCCAGTCAAGTTTCATATAGCTCTATAAGATTGGAAAATGTATTTGCATGTCTTCTTCTTCTTGTTCGCATTGCAAGCTTATTGCTTAGCGCATATTAGCTTATTGCGTGCTCTCAACTTAGTGTTCTAAATGCACTTCCACAGTTATTAATTGAGAGCTTTCGATGCCAATGCCAATACCAATGCATGAATTTGTATATTGTGTGGCAAGCACAATGATACTCTATGCCCAGGGAAGTCGAGAAAATTTCCAACCCGAAAGATTCCCTCGACCGAACCGGGAATCGAACCCGCCGCCTCCGGTTTGGTAATACCGTGCCTTTACTGACTAGGCTATGAGGCCCCCTATGTATTTGTATGTGTGAATCTAATTTTAATCTTTACTGAACTCAATAGCATTGCGTTTATATCAAACTAATACAATCGTACCTATTTTCTTTGCTCCCGTTGACATGTGGACTATGTCGCATGCTACTGAGTAGCTAAATTACTCCGACGGCGTTCGAAAGTCGAGGAATTTCCACCTTCATTTGCCACACACTGGACTGGTCAAACTCAGCGGCCATTTTTTCCAACATCGAACCAGCTGTGCAGCGTCCTGATTCGTCTTTCCAGATTTCTTTAATTACCGCTTGATAATTGCCCAATACTTTTCGAATGGGCGGAATTCCGGGTAGTTGGGTGGATTGATCTCCTTATCGACGAAATCCACCTTATTGTCTCGGTACTACTGTAGCACCTTCCGGCTGTAATGGCAGCTTGTCAAATCTGGCCACACCTTCACTGAACCTGGAGCCTTAATGAAAAGTAGTATACATTTCTCCAGGCACTCTTACCAACAGTCAATACGAAACTATCGATTTGAAATTGGCTCACTATTTGACTAGCCTATTGGTCCCAAGCAAATCGATTAACGTACCCCATTCGAGTCAAAATTCGAGAACTGCAATGTGTTTGTTTTGATTTGCTATGAAAGTTTGACAGGCAAAAGGAGGGGTTAGTGGAATTTCCTATGTTTCGAGGGGTGAATCGATTAGCTTGGGACCGAAGATAGTACCAGAGCTGAGCCAAAAAGTAGAGCTCGTTTCTTCTGGACCTACTAGTCTTAGAGTTACCTCTATGCTCTTACTGCTTATACAGCTTCGAGCCCAGCGTTTTGTTGGTGATGAAAAGCTTGGTTTATGGGTGAATTTATCGGTAAAAACAAACTTGAATTCGCTTGAGACATTGGCACCGTGATGTGCCAGATAAAACTTTTGCCGGGAACGTACCTGAAATCCATTTTGACATAGATTTTCGAATTGACCATGTCGGGTTTTCGACGTGGGTGTGCAGGCTCAATTTTCTTTTCTCATCGTCCATCCAAAACTTTCATCACGTGTACTTTAAAATCGCTGTCAAAACAGTCCAAATCCGACCACTAGAGGTGTAGCGATAGAATAAATAAAGTGTCCCGATTCTAAGTGAACCAGACTTTAGCTTCTAAATAAAAAGCTAATATGGCTCAATACGGCGGGCTGGTAGACTGAAGTTGCCTCCGTAACATTCGTAGAATGCACTGAAGAACAGGTTCGACCGTAAGCATTATCTTATACGGAACCACTTCCAAGATTCCAATTCTGCTGGAATTCTTTTGTAACTTCCTTTTGAAAGTACTGGAAGCCTTGATTCTTTTCCATTAATCGTGTCGAAAAAAAGTTATAGTTACGTGGGTTATTCACAATTTTGACTAGTTGGAACAGAGTACTTTTTTTCCTTGATTTTTTTTTCCGTTGATCTTATTTTCCGTGCTGAGCACCAATGCTACCGACGCCAGGGAGGCACCTGGATCCTACCGACCCATCAGCTCATGAACCGGGGACCAACGGCTTTACTTCCCTTCCGAAGGAAGGCGTGATCAGAGATGTTATGCATCAGAACATCCCGGCGGCGCCGACTGGGATTAAACCCAGGCCTGCTGGGATGAGATGTTATCACGCTTCTGAAGCAGTAGGTATCTTTTTTTCATTCGCGTTGTTTTCAACACGGCGAATGAGAACGACTCAAATTTGAGTTTAGTTCACTCATAATCGCCAAAAGTGCAGGAACTCAGCGATGAGTTAATTTGCCTCATGTTATCCCAGGATTTTCCAGGGAAAAAATCCCGAATTTGAGAAAAGTGAAGATTGGATTCACTCAGTCTATTGGTACTACTCCGAGACTGAATAAAATTTTCGTCAATTTCCTCACTTTCCGGCAGATTTTTTAGGTTTTCCACAGGAAACCATGAGACAAATTTTACTCATCGCTGAGTTCCTGCACTTTTGGCGATTATGAGTGAACTAAACTCAAATTTGGGTTGTTCTCATTCGCCGTGAAATATCAAAACGTCATGATGATCTTAGATTTGTCAGTGATGTAAATATTTACACGTCGTGCACTGAAGAATTGTCGAGATTTGGAAAACGACGGAGGCGAATCGGAACGAGGTGCAGTTATCCTCGATGGTAAAAATTGATAAATTTGGCTAATTAACGTCAGCTTCATGAACTTCGCGAAGTACACGTGTTAAGCCAACCAGAGGAATTGAATGTTGTGAGTAACATGCAAACGCCATGCAAGAGGTAGTTCGGAGATCATTTGGCTACTTATTGGCAATGTCCTGCCCGAAACTCGCGCTACAACCTATGCAGAAAGCTGAGAAATTATGCACGGTGCTGCCGTGAATCACGGCGTGAACATACCAATTGGAGCGGAGAGACAGGAATGGCCGAGATGACTGGAAGAAACTTGTACGTGAATTGTTTCATCTCACTGGAAAGTGAAGCGTGGAAGGTTCTATTGGCGGAGTGAACATCAAGTTTGTTGTGGACACCGGAACTGATGAGCACGTGCTAAGTGAAGAAGATTGGAAAACGCAAAAACGGGTTGGTTTCATTGATCAGTTCACGAAGATTTGCCGCACTCTTCTCTCACCCGTAAGTTTTGTCAGTTTTGGGTGGTTTGTTTTGGCTCCCATTCGTTACTATCTCTTTTACTCAGAAGCAAAATGATAGGGAGCAAAAAGTGAGGTTAGGGACCGTGCACTGATCTATTGCGTTTGATGTGAGAAAGCGCAGTGACAAGGTGTTTCAAGCTTATGGATCGCAAAAGCCTCTAACGGTACTCGGTGAAGTAGACGTGGAAATCAAAATTGGTGATGCCAGCTATAGTACGACCTTTTTCGTGATTCGAGATGGAAAATGCTCACTGCTGTGTGGACATTCTGCAAAAAAACTGGGGGTGGTCAAGTTTCAACATACGTTGTCTACTGAGGAATTCCCTTACATCAGCGGTAAGAAGTCTGCATTTTAATAATTTATCACGGTAACTATTCCATTTCGAATGCACTAAGTATATATTCTTAAATATTTAGAAATGTATACATCCATAAAAATAGATAAGTCTGTCCCTACAGTATTTAAGACAAGCTTACCGGCGTATTCCCGTTCCTCTTGAAGAGCTAACGCTTATCAAATTGAAAGAGTTAGACAGTCAGGGTATCGTTAAGAGAGTTTACGAAGCATCATAATGGGTATCTCCTATGCTTGTAAAATGGAAAAGTTCAGATGAAGTTAGAATAATCATTGATTTATGTGAAGCGAATAAAGCAATCGTTAGAGAGGTTCATCCACTATCCACAATGGAGCAAATGATTTGTAAGCTGAAGGGCAGTGTACGGTTTTCACTAAGCTTGACATAAAACAAGCATTTCACCAGTTTTTGCTCAGAGAAGATTGCAGATGTACCACGACATTAATCTCATCCCTTGGATTAATGCGATATAAGTGACTAGTATTTGGCTTATCAGCAGCTTATCGGAGCTATGTTCCAGAAAAGCATGGACACCATTCTTGGTGATTTTCCTTGGATAATTGTTTTCATCGATGATATTATAATTTTTGCTCCCAATATTTATATTAGGGTAGAGAACTACTTCGGCCTAATGACCCATTTTGGGCCTATCAAGCAGAAAACTTCAAGTAAATCCATGATTTCAGAGTTAACAAGTCAATTATGCGTTTGGTACACTACATTTTTTAATAAGCTACCGAGTCAATGAGAACGCGTGATATGAAGGTTTCCTCCCATTATTCCCAAAAACAAAAGAAGCGCTCCGACCGAATCATTTTTTATCTTCATCCGATAGGCCGAAGTGAATTCATTGGCGTTTCAATGTCGTTTCAATGCGTTAGGCCGAGTTTAGAATCCGCAGGTCGAGTTTGGCGTCAAAAAGCAGTGTTAGATTTTTGACAATATCTCAACGATGGGTTTCTCTTGATCAAATCTTACGGTACATACGGAAAGGTTAATAAATTTGGAAGCCATCAGTAATAATAACATTCCGTTTGGTGCTAAACTGCGCAAGATTAAGAAAGACTACGTGCGGGTTGTGCTTAATAGGCCGGAAATGGGGTAGTTAACCCTATACAAAATAAAATTAACTTAATTATTATTTTGGTTAAAAGGCGCCTTAAGGAGAAAAATGTCCTTCTATATGAGGTTAAAGGCTGACTAAAAGTAACTTGGTACGCTCCTCGCGCGCCACTAACAGGCATCTAGTGTTGGGAATCGAAAATCTTTTACAGTGGTTTGTTTACACTTCTATAGAGAACAACTGGTGCAAGTTTGATAGAAGTAGTCGATCGCGTTCAGAAATAACGTCAAATGGAACTCGAAAGAAGAAAAAATATTGTGCACATACACCTGGAAAATCCGAAGTGATCCGGTTCTAAACTGGCTGCAGTGCCGAAAACAAAAGTTTGTCGAGCGCTCAAAACCTACATGCAAACCCTGAGTGTGCGGACCTACGTAAAAATTGGAACCAGGGATCGTCAGCTGTGCAGCAAGGTGTTGAGGTGCGTTAAAGCCAACG